CTGCAGTTTCGACCTCGCATCGGTCTTATCAACACCCCCAGCGGGAGTCGAACCGTGACAGAGCAGAATGTGAGTTTGACACGATAACCACTCGGCCACATTGCCGCGAGTGCTCTTGGGTCACAGGGCAGATGTGGATTTCAGGGAAGGTTGGCCCCTTTCCCATATCCCATTATTTGGTGGGATTGTCGAGGAAGCAAACATATTTTTGCTATAACATTCGATTACATTACTCAATTTTTGTATGCGAAATTCAATGAAAACGTCAGGTCTTCTCATATAATTGTGGAAAAAATTCTACTACCAGTCCTTCATCACCTCAAACGAAATAGGGTAAATACATTTCATACAAATGATTTACTGTTAGTCTCGAAACTCTACCTATATATAGTAGTAGTCGAATGTTACAACAGAAATACGTTTGCTTTCATTGACAATCCCACCAAAGAATGTGCTATGTGAAAAGGCCTGGTCTTCCTTGAAATTCACATCTACCCTGTGACCCAAGGGCACTCGTGGCAAGGTGGATGAAAACAACTTTTGGGAAAGCAAGGCTATGTGCACTTCAATGGAAACGTCAACTCTACTCATATCATTGTGGGAAAATTCTACTACCAGTCCTTCATCACCTTGAAAGAAATATGGTGAATACATCTTGTATGTTGTCACTAGGACAACTAAGTCGAACTAACGAGTCAAGAAAACTTAATGATCTATCCCTGACCGCTTTGAGGACGAACGCCACGTGAAAGACGAAAGCTTAACACCTTGTTCACCCGAACCATCAAGAGAAATTTGTCATCAACATCTAATGGGGTTAACGTTCGAAGCTCATCATCATACATTTTCACGAAAAGGAAGCTCAACAATTTCATATAAAGTGATATACATACATTCGCCATATTCTTCCTATCAGTTTTGCTCACTACCACGAAGAGTGAAATTCAACCATCATTCGGTTTTTCATGCAGGCGAGGCATCAGGTCTAATCATGCAAAAGAAAATGTATCCATAGAAGTGCTGAACATGGGCTACAAACTAACGTTTGTGATTGCGTATTTGCTGAATGGTGAAGCCTGTGTTTGCTGCGAGCATGTTTCGAGACAATTTGATTAATTTGATGTAAAACAGTGGAGTTTGTGGAACTAGATAGATAGATAGATCCACAAGATAGTAAAGTTTATCCCCAAATGATATAATTCGGCCTTAGGGTGCAAGTGAAGTTCACCCAAAATGTTGTCCTTTTTAGACTGGAGGTGATTTTTGACTCTGCCTGCGTCTCGTAAGCAGCCCTGACGCTACTCGAAATCGGATTATGCAAGCAGAGCGGCTACACAGCCATGGGTGTCATTGGTTC